GATTGATGGAGGGTCCGTCACACATAGTTTTAGAGGTAGCGGTTGGTCATATTCGGGAGTTCCAAAATGTATGAAAAGGAGAACGGTTCCCCTGGCTCATTGGTAGCATTTGTTCGTGAGGTCCACATGAACAAACCTACCGAACAGTGCTCTCCTGGCTTGCCTTGAAAGGCGTTTGCATAGTTTTATTGGTGTTCTCGACGACTAAGTCCCGCTGCCTTCTTTTGCATGACAAGATGGCCACCGTTTTCTCCACCACATGGCATTCGGTTATACGAGCAGCTGCCACACAGAGAGAGCACCTAATTCTTGCCTTTTTTTGTACTTAATGAGCCAGGGGATGGTCGGTGTTCGGTACTTTATAATACACAGACCCCCAGCACGGCGTCGCCATAGAATACAGTACAAACCCCTCCCCGGCGTCTCTGTGTTTGGGAGATAATGAAGTCCTTGGAAGACTAACTCAATTATCTCTCAGTTACAGGACAGTACCTGTATCTTAGGTAGTGAATGTTCCCCCAGTCAGTAGTTCCTATCTCCCGAACGTGGTTCGTGTAGCTAGTCGGGAAAGTGTACGGGCAGCAGTACTGTAGCGGAGCTCCAATACCCAGCATAAGTATATCCGCTGTATAATCCTTGTAGCTGAGGAAGCAATACAATATAAGACAAAATCCTTCCCCATGCAAGGGATTTCTTAAATCATATTCCAGGGGCATTTCCCAGATGGACCTGAGAGGGGACTAGGGACATGATGACATTTCAAAGACTCCTCCTCTGTGAGTAAGAGATAATTGAGTAAGAACAACTCTTTAATTCAATTATCTCTGTGGTACATAAAATATAAATAGGGGCATAAATTCTTGAGATAAAAATATAATTTTGCCTCTTTATAAATTGCTGGTAAGACCACACCTTCAATATGCTGTGCAATTTTGGGCACCTGTTCTAAAAAAGGATATTATGGCACTAGAAAAAGTGCAGAGAGGAGCTACAAAATTGATAAAAGGAATGGAGAATTAGTTATGAAGAAAGGTTAAAAAATTTAAATCTCTTTAGTTTGGAAAACGGTGCCTCAGGGGGGATATGATAACATTATACAAATATATTCGGGGCCAGTACAAACCATTATCTGGAAATCTATTCATAAACAGGGCTATACATAGGACACAAGGTCACACATATAGGCTGGAAGAAAAGAGATTTAATCTAAGGCAATGAAAATGTTTTTTTACAGTAAGAGCAATAAGGATATGGAATTCTTTGCCTGAAGAGGCGGTTTTGTCAGAGTCTATACAGATGTTTAAACTTCAATTGGATAAATATTTGCAAAAACATAACATACAGGGATATAATTTCTAATTAGTGGGGTATTAGCGTCTTGATCCAAGGAGACATCTGACTGCTATTTTGGAGTCAAGAAGGATTTTTTTTCTAGTTTGTTGCAAAATTGGAAGCGCTTCAGACTGTTTTTTTTTGCCTTCTTTTGGATCAACAGCAAAAACATATGTGAGGAAGGCTGAACTTGATGGACGCAAGTCTCTTTTCAGCTATGTAATAATGTAACTATACAATATTTGCAAACATCATAAAACACATTTTAATATTTCAGCTGAAATCTGAGCTCACACTTTTTCAAAATATCACTCAGATCCGCTATGTAGTTCGGGAACGCCATTCGAGTGAAGTTGTGACCGGTCGGCTGCGAGGTCGTCGACGACCATGTACCACTGCCCACGTTCAAGAGACAAAATGGTTGTCGTTTGTTTGCACACATGTGTTCGGTGATGCGAACGTCGTCCACACAGGGGAAACACTTTCTTTAACAGTCTGATCCCAACGGATCGGCTAAGGGATGTCCAAGGTGCTCACAGATCACTTTTCTAGTTCAGTTTGTCTGGATAACCCGTCAGCTTTTCCATTCTGTTTCCCAGGGCAGTAGTGGATGGTGAAATCATATGGCTGCAGAGAAGCAGCTAGGCGTTGTCTCCTGCCACCCGGTTTAATCACACTAAAGGGTTGTGGTCTGTGCAATGAGAAGAGTTGCCGTATAGGTATGGTTGCAGCTTCTTGAGGGCCCACACCACGGCCAGGCATTCTTTTTCGATGGCGGCGTAGATTACATCTCGGGGTAGGAGTTTTCTGCTTAAGTAGGCTACCGGATGTTCTCTGCCATCGGCTCCGACTTGGCTCAATACTACTCCCAATCTGAACATAGAAGCGTCCATGTGGACAAGAAAGCATTTAGTTGGATCAGGAGCAGCCAATACAGGGGCCTTTACTAGAGCCTCTTTTAGTTATTGAAATGCCTGCTCACACTCAGGGCCCAAACTACCTGCCTAGAAAGGCTCTTGCAGGTTAGGTCGGTGAAAGGTTTGGCTAGGGCACTGTAGGCACAAATTCACAATAGTACCCTGCTGTTCCTAAGAAAGCCAGAACCTGGGTCTTAGTATGGGGGGTAGGCCACTACGCTACTGCTTCAACCTTGGCAGATTTGGGCTTTGACTGCCCGCTCCCTACTCGCTGGCCAAGATACTGTACCTCAGCCATCCCTATGTGACACTTACTGGGCTTAAGTGTCAAACCTGCTTTCTTAATGCTGTCTCATACTGCTCCTACATGAGTCAAGTGTTCCTGCCAGGTGTTGCTGTAAATGGCAATATAGTCCAAGTATGCACACGCATAATCTTGGCACCCATCCAATAGCCGATCCACCATCCTCTGAAAGGTAGCCAGAGCATTTTTTATCCCGAAGGGCATGACCCAAAACTGGTACAGGCAGAATGGGGTGAAGAACGTCGATTAGGTATTGCATCCTCGGTAGGGGAATTTGCCAGTATCCCTTACAAAGATCGATTGTGGTGAGGTACTGGCCCCTGGCCATCTTGTCTGTCGGATGGCTCAATGACCCCAGTTGGAGCATCTACTGGATCTCCTTCCTCATGTTATCCTTAACTGACTCAGGGATTCGGTAAGGAGGCTGGCTTAAGGGCAGCTGACCTGGGGTCTCTACTCGGTGGCTGGTCAGAGGAGTGTACCTGGGCATATTAGAGAATGTGGCACCCTTGGCCGTTAACAACTGTCATACTTGGGTACGCTCCTGAGTGCTCCTGTCTGATCTCTGCCCCCTAGGAGGTCAGGTAGGGGCAGATTCTCAAAATCGTTGGCGGCAGGGGTGCAGATAGCCGCCACTTGCTCCACTCGCTCATTGCGTCTCCCCCCTATACCAGATCAAGGGCCCATCACATAGGTGATATACACTTCTGTTCTACCAACTGGTATGGGCCCTGCCAGGCAGCCTGCAGCTTGTCATTGCGGACCGGTTTTAAAATTAAAACCTTCTGTCCAACTTTAAAGCTATGGTCCCTGGCACCACGATCATACCAGGTGCGCTGGCGCCATTGGGCCGCCTGAAGGTTGTTTTGCACAGCTTGGGTCAACTCCTCCAGGCAATCCCTAAACTCCAGCACATATGAGATGATGGGAGTACCATCTGGGCTGATATCCCCCTCCCAGTGTTCTCTAATCAAGTCCCCTCAGCAGCCTCTCAAACAGTAACTCAAACTGTGTGTAACCCGGTAGGTTCTTCCTCTTGCGAGTGTTGGGGCACAAAGGGGGACGTTAGGGTGCCCAAATCAATCCCCAGTAAAACATCAGCCGGTAGCTCCTGCATTAACCCAACCTCCACAATCCCGGCCCCTCACCCCAATTCAAATGTACCCTGGCGGTCGGTAAGCGGTGTACTGCTCCCCCTGCGACCCGCACTGCTCTGATCCTCCTGTGAGTGATGTATTTGGGACCAGATGCCATTTTATCAGCG